CCGCTGGGAAGGCTTGGCAACATTCACTTTTGGGGGGTGAGTTTGTTTTGGGCGGATAATTAAAAACTTCATCGGTTAACCTACTAAAAATTGAAAATCAAATGAAATCTGAAGGACCGCACAACACATTGTTTTTAGTTTGAGAGGCCTCAGGGACTTCAGTTGCCTGTCATGAGGCTCCAAATTTGGTTGATTTTACACTATTTTCAAAGGAGCTTGAATTGGTTCAGTGCTCCCCTAAAGGACCCTCCCTTGCTAAGAATATTGCGCCATCTTGTGAGTGATTCCACTCGGGCCGGATGTAGACTGCAGCCGACCGCGTCGACGGTTGAGGATGCGTTATGCATACCGTGCACAACTTATCCAACAGACCAATATGGCCGTTTCACAATAATGCGCCACCAAGAGTTTGCAACACGTTGGCCAATCACAATGCGCGAAATTTGTCGACCCAATGCGCGTTTCAAAAGGGTCGACAAATTTCGCGCGTTATGATTGGCCAACGTGTCGCAAACTCTTGGTGGCGCACTATTGTGAATTGCCCGTATTGGCTGAGTTCGGGCGGCTTGTTCTCGTATGATAACCCTCACCCTCCTCAATCATTCACCTGTTGGAGGACTGAGGAGTGTTAGGGTTAAGGAACAGCTCGAATTTTTTGCGGGTCGGTCACTCGAACGCTAGGAACGTACATCCGGTTATCGCTACTAGTTACTTGTAGCATGCAAGCAACATGCAACATGGCGGCGTCCTTGTACATTCTTCGAGAGTTAATGTCTGGGCCAACTTATTTCCCATTTAAAAAATCATATCTGTCATGGAAAATTATTGATGTTAATTGTGCAAAACTTTCCATTCTCTCCAGTTTTGTAAGCCATCTCGATAGTTTTGAAGCTTTCCAAAAATCAAATCTCATGAGTTTTCCCGTGTGTTCGTGTAAAACCCTCATGAGGAGGTGGTGTGTGAACCTATTCCGGGAACAGTGTTCTTGGGTCATGTTCCCGCCGTTCGAGCGCGAGATCTCGAGAACGCGAAACCCGTGTCAAGAACAGGCCGCCCGAACTGAGCGGGACCAAGTGAGGGCGTATTTTCCCAGCAACGG